TGTGTGTGTGTGTGTGTGTGCGTGTGTGTGTGGTACACAGAACATCAATTTCCACACTTCTATTAGCCGATGGACATCTTATATGTAATAGAAATGTGTAGGGGGGGGGGGGGGTATGGGGGGTGGTCATTAAATATGTATTCTGATATATGTTCTTCACAGAAAATGAGCCAAAGCCAGTGAGTCTCAGTTTGAAAAATTAAATAATTATATCATTTTTCTTTTATTAAAAAGTGAAAACGGGTCCCACAGACCCGAACACCACACAAAGGTTAAGGGTAATAAGAAAAAGATGTATCAATTGAATCAATTAAACTCTCTTTAACTTGACATGTGGCATTATAGCTCACTGAAATCATTATTACACTTTTTTAAAAATAAAATAAGATTTCTGTTTCTGGTTGTAGTAAAAGTGTTGATTTTCTATGGTTTTACTCTTACTAGGTTTTATTGTAACCATAAGTCATTCAATAACTGTTTTCTGTGGCGGATTGCTGTTTGTTATTGCGGATCTTATGTTTTGCTGCACCTCAGTGTTATGTTTAGTTTCCACATTGCACACATATGTTTTCAAAGGCATTTATAGGACCATAATACCGACCTGTTTGACAATTGTGATGCAGTGTATTTCAGCACATTTGGACTGGTCCTTTCTAATTTAGTTATCTTTCATACAGTGACAGAGGTCGAGAAGCAGACAGAGCAACTGGATGTAAGCGAGGTCGATCTCGTTCCAGATCAAGAGAACGTGTGGGCGAGACCATTCACAAACGTAGAAGGAAAAGACCATCTCGCTGGAGTGACTGTCCACCAAGTCCAGTCAAAGACAAGGTGGAGGAGGAGCGCTGTCCTGATAGACCGTTAGCTCACCCTCTGCCAGAAGAGCCAGTCATGGGAGACATCTATGACGGCAAAATCAGTAGTATTATGCAATTTGGTTGTTTCGTGCAGCTGGAAGGCCTCAGGTTAGTGATTAGTTTTTTTATAGTGATCAAAATGTTTTTATTTGATTCTGCCACGCACATTTTTTTTTCCAGTTTTTCAGAATATTTATGCATAATTATATGGAATTGTTTTTCTTTCCTGCTTACTCTTCCCGGTTGCCATGATGTATTTGTGAAAAACATTAATGTTAATGTTAATATTGAGTGTTTTTATACATTAATTGTTGAGTGAAATCCTTTAAATTCTTTATGTTGGTGTGATATACATTGTGTCTTTATATAGTGTTCATTAACTGCGATGTTAAAGTAACTGTATTGTCTGCAGGAAATGCTGGGAGGGTCTGGTGCATGTATCAGAGCTGCGCAAAGAAGGGCGTGTAGCAAATGTGGCTGATGTGGTAGCCAATGGTCAAAAAGTGAAGGTCAAAGTGCTGCTGTTTACAGGAAGCAAAACAAGCCTCAGCATGAAGGTGAGAGTTTTCAATGCTTGGTTCAAATATGCCTTACAGCTACCAACAACATAAGACGAACATTTGAATTGAGCTACTTTATATTAACAAAGTGAAAAATCAGTCAATCAAAATCCACCAGTTTAAATGTACAATGTTTAAAATTGAAAAAAATTGTATCAATTTGCCAGGATGTTGACCAGGAGACAGGAGAGGACCTGAACCCCAACCGACGAAAAAACCTTGAACCTGGAGTTAGAGAGGAAGTCTTAAGAAACCCTGACCAGCCCACTCAGGCCAGCGTGCTAGAACTAGAGGAAAACTCCTCAGAACACAAACGTCTGACCAAAATAACTGACCTGGAAAAATGGGAAATCAAACAGGTTTTCGTACAACACATTCCAGATCTGTCTTTATGACTTCTTAAATGTGTTGTCTGTTTTTTTTGTTTCTTCTAACAATTAAAAAAAACTGTTTTCTATTCAGATGATTGCGGCAAATGTTCTTGCTAAAGAGGAGTTTCCCGAGTTTGATGAGGAGACGGGAATCCTTCCCAAAATAGATGATGACGAAGGTAAGGTTCTGCTGTGAATACACGAGAAAAAAAACTGACACAGTTAAAATCATCAAGCCTCAGGAGTATAATTTTTTTTTTTGTGTGCATAGATCAAGATGTAGAGATTGATCTGGTGGAAGAAGAGCCACCATTCCTCAGAGGACAAACCAAGTGGACTTTGAACATGAGTCCAGTCAGAATAGTGAAGGTAAATATAAGGAAGACAGAAATTATAATTAAATGTGTACAATTATGTCTTGTTCAATCTTGCTATTTCACAAACAGTTATGAATATAGTAATATTGGTGATATAATTTAATTTAGTAATTTTCATGTTTTTAACATTTCTACAGAAGTAGGACTGACAGTTGTTTCATTTTTTTCATTTAATGAACATTGTCATTATTATTTCTAAATGTAGAAATAGTATTACCATACAGTATATATCACATATTAAACTGCAAGTCAACAAATTATGATTTTTTTTTTTCTTTTTTTTTTTTTTGGACTCCAGTGGTAGGTTTTCTCTGTCAGTGCTGTTGAATAGTTTGTGTATTCATTGAATACAGCTCATCCAATATTGGAGTGTTCTTCATGATCCTGGTTTGACAATTGTCTGTGTTCGTTTACAATAGTGTAACAACTCCCACTTTGTCCCACTAGAATCCTGATGGCTCCCTCTCCCAGGCAGCCATGATGCAAAGCGCTCTCTCTAAGGAGAGGAAAGAGCAGAAGCAGGCGATGCGTGCAGCAGAGATGGACTGCATCCCTACTGGGCTAAACAAGAACTGGATCGACCCAATGCCTGATTGTAAGAACAACAGAATATTTGAAGACCAGATTATTGACTGTTAGTTACATTCCAGAAATGTTGAATTATATAGTTTATTATTGGTCTGGTATGGTCTTTTTGTTACATCATCTTCCAATAGGAAGCATTTTAGCAACACTACAATATATATTTAATTGCTTATTATACATTTGTTAAATAAAATTTATCTTTACTTGGCCTGGCCTTTTAAGCTGTAACTCTCTTACCATGCAAGAGCTGGTGATGTTATCTAGCTTCCCAAAGATTTTAATCTTGGGCACATACATGCACACACACACGTACACGTAATGTAATGTAATGTGGCTCTGTCTTAGCCTCAGGGAAGATCATTGCATTTACAAGTTCCTTCCGTTCGATAAAGTTGGCAAGTTCACTATCACTCAATCTCATGTGGACAAACCTAATATTGGGTTGTAGGAAGTTTGAATGGACCCCACAGGAAATTGACTCTCTCTGTTCTTCACCATTCAGATGAAGGAAGGCAGATTGCTGCCAACATGAGAGGCATCGTAGCGGCAATGCCCATTGATCTTCCAGAGTGGAAGAGATATGCCCTCGGAGGAAACCAGGTGTCGTACGGCAAGAAGACAGAACTGTCCATCCTGCAGCAGAGAGCGAGTCTGCCTATTTTCAAGCTCAAGGCAGAGCTCATTCAGGTAGAAGGAAGGAAGGAGGGAAGGAAGGAAGAAAGTGAGAAATCCAATAGTGAAACCATCTGTTTTTTTTTCTGACAGGCTGTTCATGACAATCAGATTCTGATTGTAGTTGGAGAAACTGGGTCTGGTAAGACCACACAAATCACTCAGTATCTGGCAGAAGCGGGCTACACAGCCAGGGGGAAGAGGGGCTCCACTCAGCCCGGTCGTGTAGCAGCCATGTCAGTGGCCAAGAGAGTCTCTGAGGAGTTTGGGTGCCGTCTGGGTCAAGAGGTGAGTGTTTGTAGTAGTAGTTCGACCTTTGGTTTCAAATTTGCCTTTGACATGATGTCAGCTCATGCATATGCTTATGTGGCTGCAGGTGGGTTACACTATCCGTTTTGAAGACTGCACCTGTACAGAGACGGTTATCAAGTACATGACCCACGGCATGCTGCAGAGGGAGTGTCTGATCGACCCAGACATGAGTCAGTACGGAGTCATCATGCTCGACGAGGCCCATGAGAGAACAATTCACACTGATGTGCTGTTTGGTCTGTTGAAAAAGGTGTTTGGGGAATACCTTTAAAATATGGCAATGACTTTGTTATATGTCGATACAAATTTAAAATACAAAAAAAAAAACGTCTACCGTCCTCGCTTCCAGACGATACAGAAACGCAAAGACTTGAAGCTGATTGTGTCCTCTGCTACACTGGATGCCGTCAAATTCTCCCAGTATTTCTTTGAAGCCCCCATCTTCACAATCCCAGGAAGAACTTTCCCAGTTGAAATTCTCTACACCAGAGAGCCAGAGACGGACTACCTGGATGCCAGTCTCTTAACGGTCATGCAGATCCACTTGACAGAACCACCAGGTATGGTGCCTGAGACCTAGAACTTTTAAAAGAGTTAGTATATGTGTGTATTATTTTACTAATGTGTAGGATTTTTGTTGTAACAAGTGACTTATGATGCCATAGTTTCTTTCCCAGGTAAAATATTACTTTTTTACATCACAATTACAATTTGAGTCAGTCAATCAACAATCAAGCCACAATAAACATACAAAATACATAAATAATAATAAATAGTAAAAGTACAGTTATAGTCATAGTAGTAGGTAGAATAAGAAGAGGTGCACATTAGATGTAGTTGGTTTGTTAGGATAGGAGATGTTCTTTGAAGAGAAGTTTTTAAATGCTTCTTGAAAAAAGAGAGGGAGGACCCTGCTCTTGTGGCAGCTGGTAGTTTGTTCCACCACATAGAACCAGGGTGGGGAATGACGGAGATCGCCTTGTGTGAGGGGGGGGCAAGACAAGTTGACACTCCTGTGACGAGCGCAGCATCCGAGTGGGTGTGTAAGCCTTTACCAATGAGTTTAGATATGCAGGAGCGCTTCCTGCAGTTATTTTATAAACAAGTATCAGTGACTTGTGTTTGATACTGGCAGCCAGTGTAGATCGATGAGCAGAGGAGTTACATACGCCCTTTTGGGTTGGTTAAAGATCAAAAACGCTGCCACGTTCTGGACTTTTTGTATGGGTCTTGTTGAGTGGACTGGTAGACCAGATAGGGGAACATTGCAGTAATCTAGGGGGGATATGACTATAGCCTGTAGTAACAGGTGGGTGGCGTGTTGAGTCAAGTACAGTCTGATTTTGCGTATGTTGTAGAGTGCAAAGCGACAAGATCGGGAGACAGAAGCTTTTTAATTTTTTTAATTTCTAATGTTATTTAAATACTTTGCCACCAACTATAATTTTGAATGTATTGTAAATAAATGAATACATTAACTATGTATTCGTTGTTCAGGTGACATCCTGGTGTTTCTAACTGGACAGGAGGAGATTGACACGGCCTGTGAGATCCTTTATGAACGGATGAAGTCACTGGGCCCTGATGTTCCTGAGCTGATTATTCTGCCAGTTTATTCTGCTCTGCCCAGTGAGATGCAGACCAGGATCTTTAATCCTGCACCTCCAGGCAGCAGAAAGGTGGCTGTAAAATCACACGTCCTGCTTTCATTTAAGAGACTTCATAACAGCATGTGTGCAGAACACTTTGACCATGTTTATTTTTTCCTCTTTACCTCTGAAGGTCATCATCGCCACAAATATTGCCGAGACGTCTCTGACCATTGATGGTATCTTCTATGTAGTGGACCCAGGTTTTGTTAAGCAGGTCGTATATAATTCCAAGACTGGCATCGATCAGCTTCTGGTGACCCCGATATCACAGGTGATTAATATGAACACATTGTCACAATCAATAGAACTTAATAGGTTATTGTTACCCTTTAAGTATCTCTCCGTTTCATTTCAGGCACAAGCAAAGCAGAGGTCGGGTCGAGCTGGCAGGACAGGCCCCGGAAAGTGCTACAGACTCTACACAGAAAGAGCCCACAGAGATGAAATGCTAGTGTCCAACGTTCCAGAGATCCAGAGGACAAACTTGGCCAGCACTGTGCTGTCTTTAAAGGTAGAGCACTCTGAGAATTCCTCTGTGAATGTTGCGTGTGTTAAATCTGGAAATATCAAACTATAGTTTTCATTTCTGTCTACTTTAGGCCATGGGTATCAATGACCTCCTGGCCTTTGACTTCATGGATGCTCCTCCCATGGAGACTTTGATCACAGCTATGGAGCAGCTGTACTCACTGGGAGCTCTGGATGATGAGGGTTTACTGACAAGGCTGGGCAGAAGGGTAAGGATTTAGGTTTACCTCACAATCTCCTCATGGCTGTGGATTTATTGATTAATTGTGATTATTCGTGAATAATTTAGCTACATCAACATTCCTAAATATGACATGAAACCCTTTTTTGACAAGTGGATGGTAGCATTAGCTTGCAAGCTTACTTGTATGTTTGACTCTGTTTCTGCTCTAGATGGCAGAGTTTCCTCTTGAACCCATGCTGTGTAAGATGTTGATTATGTCTGTCCACCTGGGCTGCAGTGAAGAGATGCTCACCATAGTGTCAATGCTGTCTGTTCAGAACATTTTCTACAGACCTAAGGTAAGCAGCAGCCAGTGCACTGGATTTATCTTCTCTCTTTTAAGTTGACTTGTAAAACAGTGTCATATTGTGAGAAATTTGTGTTTTCCCATTTACGTTTTCGTTTGGAAGAATCATCGCCATTTTCTCCAAAAAATTAAATGTCACTTCTTTCCATATTAGGAAAAGCAGGCCCAGGCTGACCAGAAGAAGACCAAATTCTTCCAGCCTGAGGGAGACCACCTCACTCTTTTGGCGGTTTACAACTCCTGGAAGAACAACAAGTTCTCTAACCCCTGGTGTTTCGAGAACTTCATCCAGGGGAGATCCCTTAAGAGGGCTCAAGACATTCGAAAACAGATGCTGAGCATCATGGACAGGTAGCCTGCACTTACCACTTGATCAAATTAGTTTGTACATTTTGATGTTTACCATAAATAATCAGCAGAGTCTGTCTGCATGACTTTCACCGAGGAAACGTTTTAATAGTGGTTCAGTCGGCCGTCATCAAACACAGCTGCATGCGATGTGTGATGTCACAGCTGTGGACATAAAAGTTTTAAAGTTTCTGCTTCAGGACTAATGAACAGAACGATAAATTATATTTTGTAGGCATAAGTTGGACGTGGTTTCTTGCGGAAAAAATACAGTGCGAGTCCAAAAAGCGATCTGCAGCGGTTTCTTCAGAAACGCGGCCAGGAAGCATCCTCAGGACGGGTATCGTACCGTTATTGACCAGCAGGTGGTGTACCTGCACCCGTCCAGCACGCTCTTCAACCGACAGCCTGAGTGGTAGGTTCACATTATGGAGCTCTCTGCCTGTTGTTCTAAATAGTTTTCCCTGATCTTTTTAAATCTACAACATGACTCGTTGATGTTTTGATGTATTTGCATTAATTAATTTAGTATGAATGGCAATACACGCTGTTGTCTACTCACTGTGTACTTGTTTTACTACTTGGCTGCTTCCTAGTACAATACTAAATGTGTACAAGCAGAAGTGTGCAATACACTGCAATGCAATACTATCTGTTTTCTAGTAGCTGTTTACACTTAACCACTGACTACTAATGACTATTTTCTGAAATAAAGATATAATTGCAGTTTTTTTCACTTGTTTACTTCTACTATGTTCTAGTTATTACTGAGTATTTTTGTCACCCATGTCATCTTTAAGTTAAATCTGTCTTTGCTTTAACACTGGTCATTGGTTAGTTGTCATAAAACCCTCATTCTTTATATACTTCATATTTAATATTCTTTCCTCAGGCTTGTGTACCACGAGTTGGTACTGACCACTAAAGAGTACATGAGGGAGGTGACCACCATCGATCCCCGCTGGTTGGTGGAGTTTGCTCCAGCCTTCTTCAGAATTGCCGACCCCACTCGCCTCAGCAGACAGAAGAGGCAGCAGAAACTGGAACCTCTCTACAACCGATACGAAGAACCGAACGCTTGGAGAATCTCTCGTGCCTTTAGGCGACGATGAAAATGTTAAAGTTTTCATTACTACAGCATGTATTATGTGGTTTTAATACAAATTCTTATCATTTGTCTGTAATTTAACTAATTTGATTTCAACTATTTTTTTATTATCACAGTAAATCACTGGTGCACTTTAACCTTCAGCTGATGCGTCTTTATTGTCTGCTGTATAATCCAGTGCTAACACCACAGTCAGAGTTAGTGCCGTAATTTGTAGAAGCAAAGCTTCCCACAAAGATTAGAAAAAACAATGAGGTAAATAATTGCTCTATTTGTGTAAAGTTTTAAATACAGGCTAATTATCTACGTTTTATTGTATTAGTATTATTGATTCTGCTTAAGTGGCTCTGTCAACATTTAAGTTGAAATTTTAACAGCACCACTAATGGTCACTAAATAACACAGTACCTCTCCATTTTCTCTTATTTTCACTCTTTAAGCTAACTAGCTACAGATTGTGGCTGAAAGGCGGTGTTTTTAGTGTTTTTTTAAACAAATGTAGGTACCTTCAATAGCTGTAGGGGATCTATACACTTGTTGCCAAAAGGTCTGCGAAGCTTCTCATCTATTCTGATAATGGTTCTCTTACAGTTCTAGTCAGTTGTGACTTGTTCAGTTCTTCAGAACTAAAACTACAAACTTTGGTTAATTTTTAGTTTTGCAGAACAGGATAAGTGAAGATTTACAGGATGGAAAACCAATGACTACAAATTTGTAAATGTCCAAACTTAAAATCTTGCGTTTCATGAATCATAAAATGTTCTATATAATGATAGATAGGTTCCTGCTGCTCACCGCACTTCGTCAACAAGAACGTTTGGGTAGCATTGGTTCCTTCTCACCAGTAGAGTACAGCAATGCTACAGTGGCCATAAAATTGTAAAGATTGAGCTGTGTTTTCTAATTTTTACAGTTTTCAAGTAACTCAAAAAAAACAACACTATTGTTTTGTTTACAGATAAAATAATGAATGTATTCCTTGTATGTTTCTATATATTTTCTTTATAGAAATGTGCTTTTACTCTACCAAAATTCTAGCTACATGGAAGAGTGGTTCTCAAACTACTGTGGTGCCACTACTTCATTGTACTGTGCTGCCTTGGCTTATGTGTAGTTTAATAATATTTAGACTAAATGTTCTTCTGTTACAATGTGAGACAAACATGAAGCAGGTGTCAGTTTGGGTATCATGGTTATTTATTAAGCAAACTTTTTAACCACAGTCATGTTTATGGACTGAATAGGCCTCAGATGTGAGAGGAATGCAGCTCTTGAAAACAGACAAAAAAATCCCTAATGAGATTAATTTAAAACAAAAACACCATAGCCTTATATACAAGTGGGTGGGGTGGGCAATGTGCAATAGGTGCATGGGGTTTCATGGGGTGTATGACGATGGGTGGGTACAACATTTCTGTAGGTGGGGATAAAGGAGCGGGGCTGTTGGCTGGCTTTAATACATGTAGCCTTTGGAGTAGGGCTGTGGGCCCATGTTTTGTGGGGCTTGTTCTGTGGTGTAGGGGACACCGTCGTCCAGGTGGGACAGGGGCACAGTGTCCTCCTCGTTGACATAGCGCTCAAACTCCACCTTCAGGCTAGGCCGCTGATTGTCGGGGAAGGCCAGGGAGATGAGAGCCTCGGGCTCACAAACAAACTTGTAAACGTAGCGCTCTCCTGCCACCTGTGGAGAGATGGGAGGGTTGAGTCAGATAGGAATGCATATAAAATGTTGAACTCTTTTTTTTTCCCTTGGTGTCTTTACAGTTCTTCATCTCTGATAGCCGTGTAATTTAACCGTGTACATTTCCAGTAAAGGGCCTGGTCTGTGTCACCAGATTGCTGTGACTCAGGTCTGATGACTGTGGATTATAATCTGCATTGAATACTACAATGAACCTCTTAAATAAATAAATGATAAATTCTCAAGGCACACAATGACACAGTGGCGGTTTTACCTTCTGCATGATTCCCTTCTCATAATAGTAGCGCAGAGAGCGGCTGAGTTTGTCGTAGTTCATGGCTGGACGGTTCTTCTGCATGCCCCACAGCCTTGCAACCTGGGTGGAGTAAGACAGGGGTAAATGTGGTGTCACATTTTGTGAATGGTTAGCTATTAGCATTTTTTGCTAAGTTCTAAAAAGAAGTAGGCGGCTGCATTTTTACTAAAATGTATCTTCAGTCTTTTGATGTTGGTTTTCATTTTAAAACTGAAGGACTTGAAGGTTATGTTTTAAAATAAATTTTATATTTTAAAATATTTGGTAAACCTCTGCTTAACTAAGTGATTTGNTATATATATATTCCATTGAACCACAGTAACCGAAATCATGAGGATATTGTATGTAATTCAGTTCTGTGACCACTAGGGGGCCTCCATGAGAAGTGACAGCCCTCTCTGCCTTTTAACTCGACAGTGTAAACATGCCTGGAGCAGGGCGAGTCCCCACATGTGGATTCACTTCCTTTTTATGTAACCCATTACCACTTGAATGCAACCAGAGTCCTGCAGCGTTCACAGTGAAATAAGAGCCGCGGCTGCTCGTCAGGAGGCGGCCATGAAGTACAGCGCCAACCCAGATCTGAATTCTCAATGGACTAGAGTCCCACTAACTCAGAGATAGGATTAGTGTGTGCTCTGCACAGGCTTTAAGAGGAGCCACAACTTATTTTACAATAGGAAACCATTTCCACATTGACATAGGTCTCTGTGAATTGTGAGAAAGACGGGACTGGGGGGAGGAGGGACACTGAGATTCATGACTCAGTGAGAGACAGGTTGTATCCCGCTGTGGCCATCCAGCCTGTCTGATCTCTGAGTGAGCTCTCAGCCCTAATTGCTCTTGTAAAACTTCTACCCCATTCATATTTAATGTACAGTAAAAAGATAATGGAAACCGTACTATGGTCCTTTGTGTTAGGATCCACCTAAATGGACAGTGTCTGATGCGTCCAATCAAAGTGCAGACTTAAACATCACCAAAATTGTCTGGACTGGAGAAACGTGAGGAGGTGAGAGAGAACTGTGGTGTTGGATTGTTTTGTGATAGGAGGACTTGTCCTTCATTTATCAATCCTGTGTTTCATGTGATGAATAATGAATGGGCGGCTAATGGAAGATAGATCAGAATAGACTGAGGAGGAAAGTGGCCAAATCTCACTTCCAATCACCCAGATCTAGGTAGTGCCTTAGAGCTGTCCTTTCAAATTCATTCTGAGGAGAAGCCACCTTCTGTTTTTCTGCTGAAAACATTATTTTACTATGCATGCAGCTGTAGTTGTATGAATTCAAAAGTGATTTAGGTTTGAGTCTGGGAAAACTGTTCAGTGCAGAAAATGTGATAGTCATGTGCATCAGGTCAATAAGAGAGAGTACATCTGTGGAAGTGACACTCTATACTCAACAGGAAGCTGTCTGTTTTTTTTGTTTTTTTTTACTTTTTCTTCTTCAAATCCAGCTGGTGTAGTATCTTTGGTGTAGTACCTCTATTCCACTTATAGGTGGTATAAATGTTGTATGAACCTCCCCTTACAATTGGCATCATTTTTGTTCCATTAATGCCATCTTTGGTCATTTCATCTTTGTCGTTTTGATTGCAATTCCTGTTCTAATGTGCACAGTGATCCACAGTGCCTCAAGGTGGTCAGAGGAAATAATTCAAACCAGCTTATAGCCTGTCTGTCTGTCTGTCTGAAAGTTCAAATCCAGTAGAGCTATCTTCAGCGATATCGTACCTCTTCAGGTTCAATTAGTTTGAACTCCATGCCACGGCCGGTCCAGGCAATGAAGTGGCTGTTGCCGGGGTCATCCAGGAGAGCCACCAGGAACTGCCAGAGCTGCAGAGAGCCTCGGCGCTGGTAAGGTGTTCCCTCGCGAAAAACGCCGCCCCCCTCCTGCTTTACCTCACCTGTAAGGGGGAGAGAAATGAGCACAGGTCAGCATGTTTATGGGTTATGATGATGGGAGCTGCGTTTTGGCATAGCTCTCCTAACTCCTATTGACTTTATGATCACCACGAGGCCGTTAAGCTTGAATCATTAGCGAGGTGTAAAATGGTTCTTCTGTTTCATGTGAAAACAAAGGAACTTTTTGACTCCTCACAGCTGCAGAGTGTCAGTGTTCTAGTAGGGCCAGTTCATTAGCAGGTCATCTAATCTGGATGCCTGGATGCTGATGTGAAGTGTGAAAATGTCATACCTCAACAACCTTCTCTCACCCACAGAGGTGAGGCCACAGCTGAAATATGCAGCTGAAATTTCAGAGCGCCACTAAATAAAATTTCATGCAACTAATCAGCAAGTGGATAAGGAAAAATACCAAGTTAAGTGATGTGTATGTAAACAGACACTGATTGGTGTTTGGTTCCCAGTTGTTTACCAGTTACTGGATATGTTGTACACAAGTGTGGGAACACGAGAGGCTCAGCTTAGTTACTGTTGTTTCACAGGGGACTTGCACACTTCACTGGTTCAACCAGTGCTGACACCCTTGGGCTCTCCACTCAATCTGCCTTAGTGTCAGTCACCGGCGACATCATGGGAGACTGGCTTTGTCTGTTGTCACCGTGACAGTGCAGGGAAACCAAACCCACTAAGTAAGTTTGCGAGTCCACTAAGACCTTGTTCACCCTCTTGTACAGGGATCTCTGATGTCTATAGACGATAGCGAGGTCCAAGTGATTGGAGTGGTTGACTGTATGGCTAGTGTTTCTTTGCTATCATCCTTTCTGACCCTTTGTGATGTTCACATGTCATTAGTAATGTCCCAGTTCGGGCATGGTGAGAGTTGTGGCCCCTGGCCGGACAGAGCAGGTCGGAGCTACTAGGACGGCAACCAAGTGAGCTCTGGTCATCAGTGGCCTCTCTGATAGACAGTTCTTCTATTTGATTAAAATATAAAATCAAATCTTCCCAATTAGATATGAAGCCCTGTTTGTACCTCAGAGATAATGTGTGCTGAGTCCCACATATTAGCACAAAGATATTGCCAATGGAGTTAGTATAAAAGGGCTGCTGTTGCTAATGTGTGTGTGCACTGGGATGTGTTGAACTACACAGCAGCCTGTACGACTGAACAGCATTGCAGCCTGACAATTAGGAAGAGCTGATATTATCACTTGTTGTGATGCGTTTTGAAATCTTACTGCAGCAACGCACTTCCATTTGCCTGCAAATACCCATTAACACACAGCTATTGTGTGTGTGTACGTGTATTTGTGTGTGTGTGTGTGTGTGTGTGTTTTAGCAGAGGCGCTGTTGAATCAGGAGGCTTACCTTCGAATTTTTCTGGAACCACACGAGAGTCATTTTCGAACAGATATCCTGGAAAACAAGAGGGAAAATTGTGCTGTAATTTTAAGGGGCCTTCATCCCACTATAACTAGTTTGTTTATTTGGGATCTGTGCCAGGCAGTGAATACCATCCCGACCAAATGCAAGGCCCTATTCATGCATGAATGGCCCTGAGTCAACATATTTGTTCTCCTCTCTCACAAAAGTAAACCGGTTCACTGCAGAAGAGCATAAAGGGCCTCTGCTCCCAGTTTAAGAGCTAATTAGCGTAATTGTATGAACTTTAGGGCCTTCTCCAAGTCATTCTGAAGCATCTCTGTTCTCAGTGTAGATGAAAAGCAATTCTGAAACACACAATAGTAATAAGAGGAGCGGTTGTTTGCCTGGGAAACCGTGTATTTTTCTTGGAGTTGTGTTTACTCGAGGATTCTCGAGGCAAGGATCTCAGCCAATGGAAACATGGACACACTTAGTTAGTGAGTCGACGAGTGCAGCGCATTAACTGATGATGGCTGAATGTATAGAAAGCAGTGATGTGAGTGGATCTATCTGACAGTTACACAATGCTATGACTACTAAAACTGAACTGTTTGGGTTCTGCAGTCAGACGTGTCCACAGTTCTGTCATGGGACAAATTGTGACACTTGGACAGGCTTTTTGTTGCCTTCCTTTTCTTTTCTTTTTTTAATAACTGTAATGGCAAAGGGAGACTTATGGGAAATTCCCTTCTTTTTAGACTGTGGTTTGCTGGTTTTTTTTCCCTCAACATTTAAACTTACTGGTAAATTGGGATGCTCAAGTTTCCCAAGTTTATTATAATGTGCAGCTATGCTGTGGCTATCAGTGTTTGCTTTTTCTAAAAACCATCAAAATACACTTTTTACTGTTTATGATTTCAGCTAACACAACGTCATTATTTGGCTCTTGTTAGCCAGTTATATAATATTTCTGTCTTTTAGCTAATGTTTGAATATTGCTAAACCTTAGGCTAAACATTCCATATTAATTTGTTATCCAATTTTCTATTTTTCCATGCTATTTTTGGCTTACAGCCCTTTTTTTGTTTTGTATTTCAGAAGGAGCAGCTAATTCTCAGACATCTCTACCTTAACTCAACAAACTTCTACTCACCCTCGTTGCTGTGCTGGGGGTTCGGGTAGCCCTCGTTGTGGTGGTACATGGATGGGCATCCAGGAACATCTGTCACACAAACAAGCAGCCAAAGGTGAGTGGAACAGAGAAACTGACGTTGAAACATCAAAACCTGCTGAATGACAAAGACCTGGTCTGGTTGGCAGGTTAAATGAATGTAACTGCTAGCACTTTAGAAAGGCCAACATCAGCACATAAAAGCAGGAGTAGTGTATAGATACTGTGTCTTCACCCTGAACAATACAAGGACAAAAGCCACATTTATCATATCACTTCTCTTGTCTCTGATGGTATTTTTAGGACATGAGCAAGCACCTTCACCACAGCAGAAAACTGTGGTACAGTATTCAGTGTCTGCTCTTTGTCTGGGCACATCATTGACTCAAACTGATATTATATTCCCCCTCACAAACCTCCAGGCACTGATGCAGGTTGGAACACTGGCACAGAGCATTTATCATTAACATGACATCTTCTGCTAAAGTGTTGATTGCCCTTTTAACCTTTTTTTCGTGGACTTGTTTTTTTTCTTTTCCTTTTACATTTAAAAGGTGTGTCCCCGAAGACTCTGTGTGTGTTTTTTTTTTGGGTCGTCCTTGTTTGTCTGCTGTATGAATGAGAGTGGCGAGAGCACAAAAAACAGAAAGGTGCAGCTCTTTGCCTCGGGCCCTGGCCCGTGACTCAGACCTGGGGAATGCAGCTGCAGCGCTGTGACCACGATAACATGCCAGTGAGGAAAATCAAACCCTCCATTCTGAGGCAGCAGCACTCGATCATACTGTAAATAATATGTCTGCCTTGAAATGGCAGGCTGCCACTGGGGAGTGATGGGCAGATTGGGTGTGAGAGCACTAGGGTTAATTGTGTGCTGAGTGGCATGACCGTGTTGGGTCTTTCAGGCAACACAATAGCAGTGATTTCACAATGCCTCCTACAACGGCCTAGAAACTTTCTTTATTGTGAGACAACATGTTTTTTGGTTGATGGTTGCAGTGCACCATTTTAATGTCAGATGGTTTTCTGAGCTGCTGGTTTGGTAGAATGGAGACACACTGGAGTTATATCCTGAGCAGATTGTTTTTTTTTTAGTGTATATTCTCTTTTCCCTGATGATTTCATTTGGTTTCATGTTCTTTATTCTTACAGTATTGGCAAACACTGTGTCTCACAGATGTCACATGTTAATATTTTGCATCTGATCTGCTTCAACATGAAACAAACCTCTATCAGAGATTCAGGAAACACCACCAAGTCTATTCTTATCCTCTACCCAAAAAATGTATCCTCACAAAAAACCCACATCCTTTCCTGCCGTCCCACTGTCTTTTCCTTGTCAGTGTTGAAGTCAAACACTATTAAATAATGTTGAGTGAAAGGAATTAGGCTTGGTTTTTGTTCATGTGTTTTTATTATGTATAAATATGCTGTAGGGGGCTCTGCAGGTTTTCATCACTGTTGGAATTGTTTTGTTTTTTTAATGTAGTGAACAAAGCTGCCTGGTATCCTCTCCAGTGGTAAAGTTTGTAGTTAAAGCCCCTGAGCCGACAAACCCCACCCCACCCCATGACCCTCCTCCCTCTTCGCCCCCCAGTCCAACCACTCCCTCCGCTCTCCCCCCTCTCAAAGTCCAGCCAGTGAGAGGTTCAGGTTACTGCTGCCACGCTCATTTTTCCATTATGAGTTCATCTGCCTGCAGAAAAAGGAAGCCGCTGGTGCAACCTGAAACCCTGGAGCACTCCACCAGGGACTCTAGTCTTTCCAGTGCCCTCCATTTTCTCAATGAAATTCCTCTCCCTCTCGCCAGCACAGCGGCGCAGTGGGAGGAGGGAAGCTGCTGCAGTGAAACACACTTTTTCTCCTACTTTGCGAAGTGTCAGAGAGTTGAAAGGAGGAGTTTTTGGCCGATGGGAGGGAGTCCGCATACAGTGGAGATGTTATCCGATTGGACATTTTGTTTTTTAGGCAGGCAGAAAGGAGTGTTTGTTTAATTTGGTTTTTCTTTTCAGCTAAATTGCAATTGGGAAATAAATCAGAGATTTTAGTATTTTTCTATGATACATCATATATTTGCTGCATGCGTGGTGTTGTTTTATTTGCTTTATGAACATGCTGATAGTTATTCATGTCTCTGAAGCTATAATTGAAGGAGAGATAATCATCACATTGGAAAATGGTTGTCATTGATATATTTTGGTTCATCTGCTTTTTGTCATTAGCTTTCCACTAACCAGGTTCGTAGGTGTAGTCTGTGGGCTCCTGCTTGACCATCATATGAGCCGGTGGGAACCTGTGTGGATGTGGCTGTGGGTGTTGATGTGGATGTGGGGTAGAGTGCGATCCATGACCATGTCCCTGTCCTGGCCCACTTTCATGCACCGGCCCAGCCATGTGAGCTGCCCGCTCATATAGCGGGTCCATGTATTCTTGCTTAAAGCTCTGCTGCAAGTAGGGCATGCAGGGGTCAGAGTGCTGCCGATGATAACCTGCACCACCTCCACCCCCTCCGCCCCCTGGCCCTCCACCTCCACCAGCTCCACTGCTGCCATGTCCTGCTGGTGCAGATGACATTCGCTGAAAGGCCTGCCCTGGTGGAGGGAACTGGGGGCACATGGGGTCTCCTGAAGGGCCCTGATACCTAGAACAAGGGAATGAACATTTTGTCTGTAATGTTTCAGCCTTATCTATAATTGAAGGAAATTAAAAACCACCATCAGAATAGCAATGAGCTGTTCAGAAATGTGTCGTACCTGGTATTGATGGGGTAAGTGTTGCTGGGCAGTGGCTGGGAGGTGGCAGTCGGGTTCATGTAGCCAGCGTCAGGCCGTCCGGCTGTGGCAGGTTTTGGGGAGTAATGCTGCTGCATTGGAGACATTGGTGTCCCGGGGCAGGAGCTCTTAGCTCCTCCTGCAGCCCTTTTCTGCTCATAGGCACTGTAAATACAAACACAGACACACTCAGCATGTTTGTTGCACAGTGCTATTGAACTAAGATTACATCTAAACTGAAACACAATTAAACTAGTAGACAGCATGGCATATATTTTGCTTTATTCATAGATTTAAAGTGTATCTCATTTTATTTTATTCATGTTAAACTTGGTTGTTTATACAATATCTAGTAATATATGCAAGTAGCATAAAAATATCTGTAGCACTACTTGATTAGATGTTGATACTTTTGGACGCTGACGAGTGCAACACAAATTTGCTGATTTGAGAGCTAAGAAGGTAATATATATTTATCTCTAGATGTTCTCCATTTTCATAATTGCTCTAATATTTTGTGTTATTATCAAGTCAGAAACAAGCTCATCATGGTCATTGTGACTATAGTCTGACTGGAATGTGCTAAACTAAAACTTCTGCTGGCTCATTGTGCATAATAGGGATTGTAGGAGATAGCGTATACATTTCCACCAACTCCAACCATATTATCTAACTTGTACTAGTCCAACTGGTGAATTTGTTTTGATGCCATTTCACTGTAGCTTATACTGTATGTTCACCTGCTTTGTTGAATAAGCAGTTTTTCTCTAACGTCATGTAAAGCTACTGTTTCAGTAGGCCACAGTAGGGTCGCATTGGGAGAGTCGCTAGTTTACTGAGGTTTTTCAGTCAATACAACAACCAGAGCTAATGGGAGGTCGTTGGTGGAGGTTTAGTGGTCAATACCCTGAGATAAGTGTTTTAGCTGTGCTGACTTATTCATGACCAGTGCTGAGTTATTGTACAAGCAAAGCTCTGGGTTAAAAGTAGAGCAAATCTATGTTTAAAAATCACTAGTAAAAAGCCCAATAGAAAGTGTGTTTCATGTCCTGTTTCTTCTCCTGATTCTTGTCATCTTGAGTTTTATTCCGAGTAGGTAAGAAACAACTTGGACATGTGGCACGCACAGGAAAATCTCCACAATTGTTTACTTTTCTAATGTAGTTAGACAGACTTTTCAAAAACAGAAACAAAACCATCTGCATTGCTAGACACCCCTCGGGGTAAGTGAACAAAGATGTTTCATTGTGTTTTGGGTTGGTGGTCTGGGACACTACCACAAGTTACCTGGCATAAAGGCACTGCTCTCCATTAGGGTAGCTAAAGCTCTGCTTGTGGCTACAGGACTGGCTGGGGTCGGAGCCGGGGCTTTGCGGCTCCTTCTTGATAGTGACTGGAGGGCTGTGAAATGCCACTGCTGTAAGAGACAGGGAAACCGAAAACAGATTAGGCTGAGAGTAAACACACACACACACACACACACACAGAGAGAGAGTGGTCTTTATGAATTGTTTCCTTATTCACTCTTGCCTACGATACTACTGCCATTAGGGCTCAAATGCAAAAGCAAACACTCTGCACAGGACTCTTTTTTACGTGCCAGCCAAAATCCTTAAGTGACTGTCAGCCACAGAACACAGGGCAGCAGACAGACGCGAACGAACACACACGCTAACAATTGGACTCAGTGCAAGGAACGGGCTCACAAAAACACGCACACGCATGACTGCATTCCAGCAGGCGTTCAGTAATGCCCCGCCCACTTCTCTGTCCTAGTCCAGACACAACAGCAGTCTGTCAAAGGCAGACCTGAAGTTAAAAGTGTCCCTGGGCCAGAGAGTGGGACTGAGGAGAGTGCACGTCATGTCACACCTCTGTTAGAACATTACATACACTGGTTTTATGTCTAAGAATTCTTCCCTATCTACTGTATGTCCAGATGTGAACCTTCACTGTGCCAACTTTGTTTGATGCCTCCAAGTAAAGAATGTATCATTTGTCAGGTTTTATGATTATTTTCAACATTTAGGTATCAACTGTCTATCTCCCTCGGCTGCCTTATCAAGCTGAAATGTTTTTTGGGGGAGGGGGGGTCTGTGCCTCAACTGCCACAGAAACCACCCAAAGTGGAGCTTCAAACTGTGCCGAGGGCTTGTGTTTATTATGCGAGGGGAGGTTTTCACCCGAAGAACTGTACAGGATGTTTTTCTGGTCCGACAGGGTAAACAGCAGCAGCTGTGCACTTCCAGCTGGGGAGGCCTGTATTTATGTGTGTGCATGTGTGCACATGTGTGTACGAATGAGCTCAATGAATCCGTATCGCTTTGTGTGCTTGTGTGTGTGTGTTTTTTGTGTGTGTCTGTAGTGGGTGTGGAGCTGACAGAGCATAAAGCACTGAAAGCTCAGCCCAGGTAATTACATACTGCCGTTCATTCACAAAAATGGAGGAAAAAACGTGTGTGGCTGACTGAGGAAACGACGGCTCCGCAGAGTAAGAGATTGAAAGTGAAAAAAATGTAGGTGGAAAACAGAGAGGATGCGAAGATTACAGTAGGGGAGCCACAAACAACCTTCAGGGTCGGCTGCTATGTTCACAGTCAGGGCTTTTCATACGGCACACAATATTGACAGAAGAAAAACAGATGACTTGGAGTTAATGGAGTTGAACAACAAAATATGGTTAAAGTAAAGAATAGCTTTTAGGAATTAGTGCGCAAATGCCACTTTTAACTGATGACATTTTTTCTTGCTGATTATTTAACTCAGCAAATTAGAACGAGACAAAGAGAGAGAGAGAGGGATGGAGCAAGAAGCCTGAGACTCATCATCTACTTTGCTCAGTACTCACTCTACCATGGCAGTCAGGCAGGTGAGGAAGCGTTGGCTTTAGCAGAGGATCAACAGGATTATGGAGCATTTACCTAGATTTCCCAACGAGATGTGATGGGATCTCGGCCTCCTCTAACGCTCCCGACAGCTCGTCTGGCAACACACACATGGTGGCACATAATGCTGCTCTGATAAGACAACGTTGTGTTTGTCTGTTGACAGTAACTCCCACCATTTCCCTGCCACCTTCACGAACTGCAAACAGTCCTCACAGACTGTACACAACACCGGTCACGAAGCAGCCGAGTGGCTCTGGCGATGTGAACGGCAGGAAAAGTGGCCTTGATGTGGCTGTTCTGGTTTACGAGAATGTTGGGTTTTAAACATTCCAGGAGAGGTCTACATGGCCCAGCGTGTGTACATGCTTTTTCTGTGTTGTTTTAATAGGAACGTAAATTAATTTGGTAAATGAGCATCAGTCAGACATCTGGTGAATGAGACTGTGTTTGTGTTTCAACAATTGGATTCCCCACAAAAGAACACTCTAAAGACCTTTTAGCTACATTTTAATTTCTCTGAGCTGAGCGAGGCCTAGTACTGCTTAGAAAAAGTATAATGTTCTTGCATGGAGAAAAAAAAACAAAAACAACCAGGGGTTGCATATCAAGATTGAGTTAAAAAGGAGCATCCACCAAAGTCCACTGGACTGAGCTTTGTTAAACTATTGTCTGTGAAATTTAGTTTCCCAGTGCAGGACAGCAGTGATTTATGTCTGATATTATCCTCAATTAATAAATAGACTAGAAAAATCTCTGCACAATGGCTGAGAGTGGAGACAGCTGCTGAATTGTGAGTCGGTAATTGGTTATGAAGAAAGGCCAGGTGTTAGAGATAAACAAAATATCTTCTGGAAAAGCAGTGTGAAATGTTCTGTGGTAGTTTTGGCATTATTTATAAAAAGTGTGGCGACGACCAGGTTCTGTCACATTCATACGTACATCCACAGCTTGGAGCTATGGAGCAAAACTGTCACAACGACACTGCTGTGACATTATTTTTGGAATATGTGTAACCTGAAAGTTCCAAAAATAGTCCCAGACTTCAAGCTAACCCTCCTTCCCATTGACTTTTATAAACTCTCTGGCACGTCACAATAAATCTCCCTTTTCCGAGTGATGTCCAAATTTCTCCAAAGGTTTATAAAGCAGTGACAGTCTTGTAAACGGATCTGAGGAGAGATGGTCTTCGTGTTTCCTTCTCCTTCCTGCTTTTATTCGGGGCGATGTGACCTCCTTGACTATTTTGTTGAATGTTACATCACTCCTCCACAGAAATCCTCATCTTTCACCGCTTCTGTTTTACTACAGTGGAGAAGAAGACCATTAGTTAAAAGTTAAAAGTTCACTATAAAGGTGACCTCTTGCAGAACACTTCGATGTATTTTAGTAAAGTTTCCTTGATTTAAGTGTAAAAGTCTTGCACGTTGTCCTTCAGCGATGGTTAAATCCAGACACATTCCCAGCACCTCCTAAATCTATAGGGTCAAAGGGTCTTTTCTGGCTCCAAACTTGTCCTATCTCCTCCTTCTCTATTTAGGGTATTCTTCAGCCTCTTCCACTGACACCCTATTCTGAGCAGCATGTATGGCGCTGACCCCCAGCTAAAGGCAGGGTGGAGATGTACTTTTACATATGTAAATGTAGGCTCTAAGAAGGGAAGGATGCAGGGTGAAAGGTGATGGTCATGGTTGAGTGCTTTAGGAAGTAGAGGGATCATTACACGGGGGGTCTCCATTCAACAAACACCCAGCACAAACAAATCACAGGGGCAGGGACGGCAACCCTGCCCCCCTCGCTCCATCGAACCCTCTCATTCACTCTCCTTCTCAGCGGCCCCGCAGCTGAGGCAGGCAGACAATTAAAAAGGAATCTAGCACCTTATCTTCAACTTAAGTGCAGAAATCTTCTGAAATCTGATGCCCCTTGAGAATGACTGATTTTGCAGCAGTTGGTGGGACCTTGATATGAACCCGTCTTTTACTGTTTTCGATCATGTGTTTCTACCATTAAGGGATATCCAGTGTGAAACCAGGGGTTGGATCTGGAGAGTTTAACTGTGAATGTTTATACATGTGACTTGGCCAAGTCTTAAGCCTCTGGAAGTCTGCAGCACGCGACACTCTCGCTGACTATAACTCAGTGGACATCAGCCTCAGTGTCAAACAGGGTGACTGTATCTAAGTCAACCACAGAACAGTAAGAGTGTAATGTAAACAGACACTTAATGGGTCCAGTGGTATCATGCCGGGGCTATCTGGTGATCTGGCTCTTATCTCCCATGATATGAAAATGTACATGTGCCGTGTGAGTGGCACGTGGCCTCGGCACATGCACTTAAGATGCACATGCACCGTGTGATGGGCCGCACCTGGTTCTCCCACTCTCGCAAATTGATCTGTGATGTGATGCTGGATCAATAAAAACAACAATACCAATTATGGCACAATGGTTTTAAAGGTTAAAAAGGAAGCTATTGATTCACATGGATGGCAAATGACATTAGTTCCTTTGCTGGATACGCGGCTCCACTGTGGTGAGAGGGGAGGCACAATGGGGAGAGCAACAGTATAATTTAAAAGCATTTGACTGTCAACACATACACTGAAAGTAAGACATGACCTCCACTTTGATGGTAATTTTAAACATCCGTATGCTGCAGTATGTTTTCCTTTCTCTGTCCAAGTTTGGATTCAGTTCCTAGATTTCCAACCTTGTTTTTGTACAGGCCAGAAGGATTCGTTGGAAAACAAAAAAGCTGACGGCTAAATATCGTTTTAGATTAACCCTGAAAGCATGATGCTACGACTGCGCAAATACTTGTTTGACTAACATACAGTATATATAATAACCTCAGCTATGGGTCAGGAGGTAAATGGTTGGCTTTCCGACCAAAAGCCCAGTCGTGGGTCAGACACATGGACAACATACAAACTATCCAGAGTGCAGTGCATTTTTGGTGCCAAAAAAGTGAAAGCCAAACTGAACAAGCAGAGTTCATCTCAACTCGCATTGACAGGGGGGTGCAGTTGCCAATTGATATTTGGTCAGAGGACAATATATATGTGTTTATACCCTGCAAAACAGATGACAGCCTTAATATAAAACATATTTGATATGGTACATTTTTTTTATCCAACTTGACTCTGGCACACACTTGTTTACCATGTCAAATCAGGCTTTTGTCGTACAGCTACTGCTGAGGACAAGAGTGATAACCTGCTATTACATTATGATGCAACATCATCATTGTTTGCAGGCTCCATGACACTTAACAGCAATAATGGGAGATAATTCACCGTAGTAACCCATGGTAAGGTTAATTTGAGTCCCTGTGTTTACAGTCACTCCTGGGTTGTGTGAGAAGACTAATGACTGTGTTCTTCAACACAAATTAAAGATATCAAAGGCAACGACACACATTATATGGAATGTCAAAACAGTCTCGGTTCGCAACGCGCGTCCACTTCTTCTGTTTGGCTTTGTTGTTGAAGTGCAGTGGAAAAAACAGACGCAGAGAGAAGAGTGAAGC